GCCCCTCTGACGACCGCCGCTCGGCGCCAGCCTCCGCCCGCCGGGGATGCACCTCGCCTCGCCGCCGCTCCGGCGGCCGCGGTCGCGCGCCCTCGCCGTGAGGCCCTCGGGCGCGGGTCGGCGGCGACCTACGGGTCCTCGGGCCGCTTCCCTGACGGCCCCGAGGCCCGCCGAGGGCCCCCCGAGGCCGAACACGGCCAAGAGCCCGCCGCTCCAATTTTTGTCGGAGCGTCGGACATCTGGGGTTCGGCCTCCGCCGCCACTGCGAGCGCATCCCGAGGCTGGAAAGCCGCCGAGGGCCCACGAGCACGTCCTAGGCCTCGGAAGACCTCGCAGCCGCCAACCTCGGCGTGGCCGCCTCGATCGCTGCTCGGCGAGGGCAGGGTTCGGACTCCGCCGCCGACAGGCGCGTCCGACTTTCTCCACGCGTGGGCCCCGGAGGTCTGGACCGCTTCCCCAGGGGCCGGCTTTGCGCCCTGGGCCGCTTCCAGCCGGCCGCCCGCCGAGGGCCCCCCGAGGCTTCTGACGTTCCAACCTACTTCAGCCTGAACCACCAAAAAGAATCTCGAGCACAAGGAAAGTACCGAAACTCGAGGGTTTTCACGTGTCGGGCCCTGGGAGACACTCGCTCGACACTGTTTCGACGCTTTCCCGAGGGCTCGAAATTATCTATGGGATGCGGTCCTGAAGTACGATGGGAGCCACATATCCCGAGGCCGAGCACGGCCCATTTCTTCGCAGCGTCGGATCTGTGGGAGGCTTCGGAGATCGCCGCCGACCCGCGCCCGAGGGCTTCTCGGCGAGGGCTCCGCGGCCGCCAGGGCGGCGGCGAGGCGAGCGCCCGCCGCCGCTCGGGCGCGTCCGCGAGCTGCCCGGGGCGCGTCCGAGCGCTGCTGGCAGTCGAGCAGGGGAGCGACCGCAGAGTTGCCTCACCCCAGAGTTGGCTTTGCAGCGGAGCGTGTGTGAGAGGTGCGAGCGAGGATCGTTCCGTGGGCCTGTCGGCAGGCTGCCTGTCGTGTCGTGGATTCGACGAGAGGAGATTCTCGGGGAAGCGTAGGACTCGGGGAAGCAGGAACTCGGGTTTGCCGACGTTTTTGTTGCCGAGCGCTGCCCGGATTTTGACGGCCCGGGTTTCGCGGGATGTTTGCAGCGGGAACTCGCGTCGAATTTCAGATCGGGCCTCGTCGTTTTCATGACGGCCCCGTCAGGCCCACCCGAGTCCCCAGCGCCCGAGTCTTACGTCTCCCCCAAATGGTTCATGTCTTGGTAATCCATCGCAGGCCTAGATATTGACACCAACACCAGTATCGGTGGTGCTCCCCCACCGAGGGAAGAAAGATCCCGATCTCGGTGATGGTGATAATGTTCTGGCTTCCAAGGTGACCGAAATATTACCACCAGCACCGAAATCTAGGATCATCTCCTCCCTGTGGAGGCGGCCCCTTGCCTTGGTGTTGGTGCCAATTTCCAGGCCTCCAAAATACAATTCTGGAGTCGATCCCCTGCTCGAAGCAGGCGCGCCGCCAGCTTGCGCCAGGGGCACGCAGTGGTCGGCGGGCGGCGCCGGGCCGCGCGGAGGGCGACGCCGCAGGGCGGCGCTCTCGAGAGCGTGGGCGCGGTGCGGTCCGCCAGCGGCATGCCCACCCCTGCGGCGCCGCGGCGGAGGGCGACGGTCGGGGGCAACGATAGGGGGGACCCTGTTCCGAGGAAGGTTTTCGGCCGGTTTTTGACGGAGACCATCCGGCAACCTTCCCGAGGAAGGTTTTCGGATGGTCTTTGGGAGGAACCCTCCAAAAATCTTCCCGAGAAAGATTGTTGGAAGGTTTTTTCTAGGAAACCATTTAGAACCTCATTGTATAACGTTTTTTTTCTATTGTCTTTTAAACCTTCCTGAGAAAGGTTGTTGAAAGGTTTTTGGAGGTGGGCATAGGGGGGGATGCATCGTTCCCCGATCGCCCATTGATCGCCGATAGGGGCCGAATAGCCCCAGCATGCACGGGAACGTTTGGATTCACTATCAAGGGCCTACCGCCGATCTATCGGCGATGTATCGCCGATTCCAGGTCGATGCGTCCCCCCTATGCCAGTCCTCCCCCTCATCGTTGCCCCTCAGACTGGGGCGGGCTCCGGGGGGGGGGTCAAGAGGAGGAGGACGAGGAGGAGGAGGAGGAGGAGGAGGAGGAGGAGGGAGGAGAAGGAGGAGGAGGAGGAGGCATCGATGCCACTGCTCGTTCTGCGAGGGCCATCGCGGCCACGGCTGGAGTGTCCCCGAAGGTCCGGTCAGAGCGCGCCCCCGGGGATAGGTCCGGAGGTCGTAGTGGTACTATCGGTACTTTCGGGGGGAGGGGAGTCCCTCTGGTTCTGTTTCCCT